TGGCTCCTGGCTTCAGATCAGCTCAGTTCTGGCTACCAGGCTACTTGGGGAATGAACCAGCAGGTGGAAGCTCTGTCTCTCCTTTTCTGTGTAAATCTGCCTTTCCAATAAGAATAAATAAATCTTAAAATTAAAAGTTAGCAGAAAGATCTTCAGACACATCAAAGCTAAACAATATAATCTACATAATCCTGTACTGCAAAGAACTTACAAAGAAATTAAGAAAATACACTAAACGTATGGGAAAAAATACAAACTATCAAACTGAACGGAAAAGTTAAAGCAATTCAAGAAAAAAAGTTAAAGCACTTAAAGCCTAATTTTTAAAAAAGGGCAGACTTCAAATTAGTGATCTAGTCTCCAACATGAAAGACCTACAAACAAAAACAGCAAAATCTGATAGACAAAAATAATAGAGAAATAATTTTAAATCAAAAAAATAGGAAATGGAAAAGAGGCAGTTCTTTGAAAAGCTCAGAATTGAATAACTGCTATGAAATCTGAAAAAAAGATACAAATAACCAGTAACAGAATGAAAAAGGTGAATTGCCTCAAGATCCACAGAAATTAATAAGGAAACTCTATGAGCAAATCTAAACACATAAAGTTTACAAGTAGATGAAAACTAACCTCTAAAGAACAAACTACTTCAACCCTTCCAATTTGAAACAGGTAATATGCATCACTTGACAGCTACTGAAGAAACTGATTCCAAACTACAAATACTCTCAAAGAAATTTCCAGCTTCTACTTCAGGTTTTTTCACTGAGTAAACCTCTCAAGTATTTCAGAGAATCAACATTTTACATAATCTCTTTCAGGAAATATGAAGGAAAACTTACAAATTCATTTTATAAAGGTAGTATTAGGTTAGGTAGCAACATGGGCCAGTGAGAGTCAGGACTGAGGGCAGGCCAACCACCTGCCAGTACGCATGAGAGCCAGGCCAGTGGTTGGGCTGAGACTGGCTAGGATGCAGCAACTCCCAGTTCACGTGAGAGATAAGGCTGGGGGAAAACTGACCAAGCAGCTGTATCCACCAGAACCCAGGTCAGCTGGTACAGGTAGTAGACCAAACATGATCTTACACTAGCTGGCACAAGAGCGTCAAGTCTGAGCACTTTCCAGAAACTTTCCTGGGGGACTTCCCAACTAGATGGCTGGTCTTAATCCTGAGCCACAGGGAAAACCACAAGATATGTGATCTGTCCTTGAAGTACGTGCATCAAGACTGGGCCTCCTTGGTTGCTGACACCTGTGCAACAGAGAACACACTCAGATGCACACAAAAGACAAGACAGCCAGCTCAACTAGACCAACATTGGACACTGAGCACCTCATTAAAAGATGGAAAGTAGAACAGCCTCTCCTGGGCCAGGCTTTGCAGCAAGTGTCTTAAGTCTATGGATACACTGAAGTAGATTTCATTAGTAAATGGAGATTTTTCTCAACCCTCATGCGACAAAGCCAACAACCTCTCAGAAATACTATGATCACTTAATACCCTCAGACATTTTTTCCCACACTGGGTCACTAAGGCTACATCAAACGACCGGTTAAATCCCCAGGCACTGACAGCTCAACAGTAAGGAGCAGGCCCTTTCCCCGCCACCTCCCATGGACAGCGGAGGGGGACAGAGAAAACTGAAACACTGATCTCACCCACCTTGCTCCACACCTCCAGCCTCCCCACCCTAATCTGAGGCATACTTGGGTAGGCAACCCTTTCAACAATATAATATTAAAAACAAAATTTAAAAAGAAGTAGTGATAACCCTTATATCAAAACAACACAAGATCACAACAAAGCTGGAAGAGGCTAGATGAAGGATGAAAACACACGACTTCATGAAAAATATCCTTTTAGAAATGTGAACAAATAGAATTCAGCAATATATAAAGAGAATTATACACCATGATTAAGGGGGAGTTTGTTCCAGGGATGAAAAGTTGGTAACATTTGAAAAGCCAGCAATCCATCACCAAGTCAACAATCTAAAAAAGAAAATCAGTGATCAATTTATACATTAAAAAAAAAAAAAGCACCTGAGGGACTGGTGTAGTGTAACAGGTTAAAGTCAACACCCGAGAAACTCCTGGCTGGTATACTTCCAATCCGGAATTCCTGCTAATTCACCTGGGAAGGCAGAAGATGACGACCAAAGTACGTGGGCCCCTGCCACCCCTGTGGGAGACTTGGTCAGAGTTCCTGGCTCCTGCTTGCCCCGGCCCAGCCTTGGCTGTTGAGGCCATTTGAGGAGTAAAGTAGCTGATCGCAGATCAGACTTCGTACTTCTTTTTTTAGTTAGTTATTTGAAAAAGCATTGGACAAAATCCAACAACCATTAATGTTAAAACCCCAAAAACTGGGAATTGAGGAGAATTACATCAAATAACAGTATGTGAAAAAAAAAAACCTACAGCTAATACCTGTGCTATTGCTACTTAACTGCAAAAGATAAACAGAAACAAGACAAGGATACCCATTCTACTGCTCATTTTCATCACTGTGCTGGATGGTCCAGCCCTGACAGTAAGTCAAGCCACACAAGGCAAAAAGGAAACCCACTCCTATTTATAAATGATGTGATTATCTACACCAAAAATCCCAAAATGAGAGCTGAACAAGATCAGATAACAAAAAACAAGCTAAATATTTTTTAAAAACCAAATGCATTCTAGTATTGTGTTATATGTATCAATGTATTCTACATGATCAACACATCATAAACAAAATCATTAGAACAGTTAAAACTACATCTAATTGTATATCTAATGAAATATGAATAGGATATGTATGATGAAAGCTATATAAGATCTAAATAAATGAAGAAATATCTCATATTTACATATTGGAAAATTCAACAAAATTGTCAATTCTCCTCAAAATGATATACAGACAAACTTTGCAGCTGTTCCCGTCCAATCCAGCTCCCTTTTACTGTGCCTGGGAAAGCAGCAAGCCTTGGGTCCCCGCACCCACGTAGGAGAGCAAGGAGGTCCTGGCTCCCAGCTTCAGATGAGCCCAGCTCTGACCACTGTGATCATATGAAAAGTAAACGAGTTGATGGAACATTTCTTTCTCTCTCTTATCCTCTCCTTTTCTGTCTCTGTGTCTCTCTCTCCCCTCCTCTTTTTCAAGTAAAACAAGTAAATATTAAATATATAAAATATATATAATTAGTAAGTAGGCTTTCAGGCCAGTGGTTACTGCACCACTTTCTGTCTGACAAAATGTAAAAGCGACTCTTTAGTTCCCTAAGAGCAGTGAGGTCACAGGACAAACACTTGTCACAATAGCAGAACAACAAGCAAACACACAGGGTCGTAATTCAGTCAGAAATCTGAGACCTCATGTGAACCAAGGCACAGGCAGTAAAACTTCAATTTACAATTGACAAAATGATGAAACTTAGGTATGAATATATATATATTTTTAATTATTTTAAAAACAGAACTATAGAGAGGGAGGGAGAGACTGACCTTTATCAAAGTTGGTTCACTCCCTAAATGACCCTAACAGCCAGAACTGAGCGGGGCTGAGGCCAGGAGCTAAGAACTTCTGAGTATCCCATGTGGATGAACTCCAGCACTTGGGCCATCTTCTGCTGCATTTCTAGCCACATTAGCAGGAAGTTAGTTCAGAAGGGCAGCAACCAGGGCTTGAATCAATGCCCATTTGGGATGCCAGTGCTGCAGGTGGTAATTTACTGTTTTATAATTTAGGCATTGGACAATTCTGAGTTTAAAATTTTAAAGCACCCAGTCATGGGGGACAGGAGACTTTTGTTTTACATTCACGATCGTGATGGTACTCTCATTGTGAATATGAATACCATCAGAGGAAAATGCAGGTTTCCTGTAGACCGAGGGGAAAAAGAACCATTTGAAATACACCACAGCAGCCTGGTTTTCTTAACATGTTCTGTCCTGTCTTACCAGATGTTAGCCTGATGACTTTTAGCAGGGCCTAACTGTACTGGGGAAACAGGGCTAGACAAATAAGACATTCTATTCAACTCCAGCCTTCCATGCTTAGGATGGGAAGTTCCTTATTCTAGCCCCGCCCATCCTAGTCAAGATGGTGAAAATATAAATTTAGAAATTGAAAAGCACTTGTAAGTTCACAGCCCAGGAACACAGGTTCACTGAAACACTGAGACCTAATCACAGGAATATAGAACACCATCCCTCGCCCCCATGCCTCATCATCACTGATTAAGATTTCACCACAGTTCCTTTTCCCCAGTGTGACATGACCACTTCTCAAAAAAAAAAAAAAGGGGGGGAGGTACAAGAAATACAAATAGGAAAAAAAATGTATCACTGGCATCTGCACCACAGAAATAGAGATTGTATGTCCAGATATGTTTACAGCACCTTTATTCATAAGTCAAAAACTGAATAACCCAGATGGTTTTAATGGCACAATGGCTAAGCACCACCCTTGCAGAATATCATTCATCAATAAAAAGTAATGAACTGTTCACACACACAACTATGTGCACTAACTTCAGGGGCAAAAAGCCAATTCCAAAAGTCCACTGAATGGTACAATTCCATTTCTATAACATCTTCGAAATGATAAAATCAAACAGAGAACAGATGAATATTTTCTAAGGATTAATGGAGATGCTAAGGATTAGATTAAGAAGAGCAAGGGAATGAAGCAAGTGTGAGCAATATAAGGTATCTGAAAATGTTCAGTCTCAACTCTTCCAATGGTAGCATCTGTAAGCTTGAAAGATATTACAATGAGACAAAATGGATACATTACAAACAGTTTCTTAATTACTTCTTAAAACTATATGTGAACTTATACTTATCTCAAAATTATTAAATATAATTAGAGATATTTTAATTTAATATATAGCAACACTAAATTTCATCAAGCATTAAATGCTACTTTATAAACTTTACCTTCGAACAATAAAACATACCAAATATTCTCGTGTAACAACCATTAGCTAAAGATCTAAACACTGAGGATTTGAGCTCACCTTCCACACTGTCAGAACAGGAAGTTCCGATGCCAGTGTCCCCACTGTCAGAAGCTATACTGTGTCTCCTGGTTTGGTTATGTCGATGATTAGATGGAACAGCTGTGGCCTGCCACAAGGATTCATTACCAGGTAACCATGATGATGAATAATCAGGGCCTACAGAGGAAAACATGCAACAATTAATACTTGTCTTTGAATAGGCATTTTATTACCTTATTAAAAACATATAGGTATAAAAGGCTTTCTGCTCAAAACTTTTTTTTTTTAAAGACTTACTTACTGGAAAGAGCTACAGAGGCAGAGAAAGATCTTTGCTCTGCTGGTTCATACCAGCTGAGTCTGGGACAGGTCAAATTCATGTGCATGATTCATCTGCAAGGATGCACCAGGTGGAAAAGATCTGGGCTACTCTCAGATGCTTTCACAGGAGCATTTGCAGGTACTCAGAGTGGAGCAGCCAGAACTCAAACCAGCACTCATCTGGGATGGTGGTACAGGGTAGCAGCTTCACCCCACTACAGTGCCATCACAAAATTATTTAAAAATAAAAACCTAAGATTTACCAAAGAAACACATGACACGTACATCAAATCCATGCTGATTTTAAAGCTTCCTCTATTTGAAGAACTGTTTCTTCCTCTGGATATTGGATTTTGAAACCATTGCTGTGTTGTTACAAATGTTAAATGCCTGTTTACCTTCTGCTAACATGCAGCTCCAGCATGATCAACAGTCTGAGATTCCATGTTCAGGTATTAGTGAGACTTAAATCTCAGAGAAATTCTAAGTGATCATATTATAGAACAGTATAGGTAGAATATGATCATAGAAAGTATTTTAACTTTGTTTTTAACAGATTTAATATGGTTTGTGTATGCAACTTTAAGAACATATTTTCTTCCTTTTTCTCTCCAACCCTCACTCTTACACCCATTTTTCAGATTACATATTTTAAAATTACATTACAGTAAAAACAATACTTCATCAAGCAAAAAGTTTAACAAGTAAACACCAAAAGTAAAACAATATCTCACAAAACTATTTGTAGCAATAACAACACACACAGGCGTCTTTTTAATTTTGGCTCCCACATATAAGAGAAAACAAGAGGTATTTGTGTTTCTGGGTATCTTATTTCACACATCTGATGTCCTCCACTTGACTCCATGGTAGAATTTCATTTTTTATGGTTGAATGATATTCTACATGTATGTATATGTGTATCAATGTTTGATCATTTTCACTGTAGGGCTCTTCTGCTCCTTTGGTTAAGTTTATTCCTAAATATTTGATTTTCTGTCACTCTTGTATGAAATTTCTTCCTTGGTCTCTATATAATAATCTATATATGTGGTGAGGACGGATCACAAAAAAGCAAAACTGAAATCCAGAATATTAGATGTATATACATCATATATACATACAAACACTGTACTTTCTATATCCATCTCATGAAAGATACTTTGGTTGATTCCATATTATGCTATTGTGAACAGTGTGGTCAGTGAACACAGTAGAGCAGGTATCTTTGATAAAATGAGCCCATGTCTTTTAGGTACATGCACAGTAGTGATTTGCTGGAATACATGGTAAATCTATTGCAGTTAAGTGCTCCCCTTTCTCTGCAATTTTGCCAGCATTTGTACTCTGTTTTGAATTTTAGCCATTGTGACAGGGGACAGGTGATATCTGTGATTCTGGTTTGCATTCCTTGATGGCGTTTTTTTTTTTTTCCATCTATTTGTAGTCACTTGTATTTTTTCTTTTGAGGACTACTGTTCATCATTAACATATAACAAGTTACTTTTGCATGTTTACTTTGTGATCTGAAACTTTACTAAATTGGTTTATCAATTCTAAAGCATTTGCATGGGTTGTTCAGGTTTTTCCATGTACAAAAGCATGTAATCCACAGGCAATTTGATTTCTCTATTCCAATGTTGATGCCTTTTATTCCTTTCTTCTCCATAAATACTCTTGCTAGAATTTCCATACTATATTGAAAAATAGTGGCTTGTGATAAATAGCCTTTACAATTTTGAAGAATGTCCCCTTCCATACTTAATTTGTGGAGGGTTTTTATCATCCAGGGGTGTTCAATCTTATCGAATGCTTTCTCCGCATCTAGTGAGAGGCCATTTGGTTTCTGTTTTTTAGTCCATGGATGTGATCCACAACTATCTTTCATTTCTCAATGTTGAACCACCCTTGCACTTCTGTGATAAATTCTACTTGATCACGTATGATCTCTTTGATGTGGTTCTGGATCTGATTTGCTAGTATGTCAAGAATTTTTGCACCTATGTTTATTTAGGATATAGATTTGTAATTTTCTCTTTGTGCTGCATTTTTTATTTTGATGCTGGCCTCATGGAAAGACTTTGGTAGAGTTCCATTCCATTCGATCCCGTTCCTTACTTTTTGACAATCTCATTAGAATATTCTTTGGTGAAGACCTTTTTTGATTGAGTTGGCTTGGGATTCTTTGAGCTTCTTGTATCTGGATCCATGATCCCAGGATGTGGGAAATTTTTAAATATTATCTGATTTAGCAAATCTTCAACGTCCTTTCCCCCCCCTTTAGGAATACTTATAATACAAATATTTGGTCACTTAATGGTATTCCATACTTCATGTAGACCTTTTTATTCTTGTCTGATTGGGTTATTTCAAAATTCTTGTCCTCAAGGTCACAAATTCTTTCTTCCACTTGGTCTACATTGGTGTTGAAACTCAACTATATTTTTTTCTTCAGTGGTTGCAGGTTTCATTTCAAAATTTCTGATTCTTGAGTTCTATATCCTTCGTAATATTTGCATTCATGTCACTCCTTGATTTCCTTTTAGTCTACCAAAAGTATTGAATCTCAAGTTTCCTTATAGCCATTATTTTTAATTCTGTGTCTGCCATTTCATAGATTCCCTTCAATTCAGACTAATTCTGGAGGATTCTTTTGTTCGTTTGGAGGCATCATGGCATTCTGTTTTTCATGTGTCCTGGGTCCCTATGTTGATGCCTGACATAATAATTCCTTCTTTGTGGAGTATTTTAACTGAATTTATTTCTTTTGATAAAAACAGCTTGGTGCTACCCTACTTTTTGTTCCATTTATCCTTTTGAGTTAGACTAAGTTTGTATTCTGCAGAGGACATGTGGTACAGCAGACAGACACAGACTGCAATGCTAACATGTCAAGTAAGCACAGTCTGTTCCACTTCTGATCCAATTCCCTGCTAATGACCTGGGAAAGCAGCAGAGGATGACCCAAGTGCTTGGGCCAGTGCCACCCATGTAGGAGACCAGGAGGAAGCTCCTGGATGCTGGTTTAAGCCAGGTTCCCCCTGAGTCTTTGTGGTCACCTGAAGAGTGAGCCAATGAATTGAAGATCTGTCACACATACTCTCTTGCTTTCGCACTCTTTTTCCAAAATATATTCCCCCAAAAATTAGGAGTTTTAAATTATTTTTCCTAACACGGTCATTTAATATTTAAAATAATTTAAAATTTTAAGTGGATTAATTTATTCTGGAAAAAACCTAACAGCATGGTATTTTAGTATATCTCCCTCCATTTCCTTTTTGAGCTATATAAAATCTACATTTTTATCAGATTTTTGTCTGTCTTAGTATTCTTCCAATGCTTATTTCCAATCACCATGTTTAGTTCTCACTTATTTTTTGTCATTTTCTGTTTTAAATCATATTAGCACACTACATTTTTTCCATATATACTATAATGTCACTCAATGCATAAACGAACTATCTATTACAAATTAGGTGACAAAATAAATGAGTTCTTAGAAACTTTCATAATAATTAGAAAGGATCATTTTAAATTCATTGCTTTCATATAAAGATTGCAGTACCAGACATCATTATTAATGCCTAACATAGCAAGTCTTGTAACAGAAACTACAACTTGTTAAAGCAAGTTAACAAGCTTTCTACAAGAATTTTCAGCTGTTGTTTCAATAATGCTCATTAAAAATTAATAACCACAACAGACTATTGGTACATCTTAATTATACAGACATTATTAGATAATTCATTTGTGTTTTACACTTATGACTGCAAACTGTCTCAGTAAAAGACTAGTATCACAAGATGCTGACATTTTGAAACAAGATAGCTTTACCGAATTACAAGTGAGGTCTTTTTGGGTTTGAAAGAAAAAGAATGCTTTCTGGAAGTTTAAATATCAAATCTCAAAATCACAAGCATGTATCTATTTACACCATTTTAACCGCATTTCAGGAATATTTTTGTTATAATAGTTCTATATGAAATAAACATCAAAGTAAACAGATTAGTATTAAACCACATTTCAGCTTACTTTTAGTATATTAGGGTCAATATTAATGATCCAGGTTTAATAAAACATGCCACACTAATATTATTTCAAAACATTATATAGTTAATCCATTAAATTCAGGTCAAACAGATGTCTGAAGTATATAAGCAGCCTTAAATACTACATTTAAATTGAAAAATATTGATCAGAAATATTTCAGCTTTCAATTTTAGGCCTCTCACTTAAATATATATAGATTCTGGACCTCTCTGATAATACAATTTATTTATCACCTGATTAAATATTCAGACACTAAATCAGATGAAGGTATTCTGGGAATAACTTTATTCCACTCTGTGGCCTACAATCTATATCAAAATATTCTCTTCCATCAGGTACTAACCAATCTTAGTGAACTTAAATGGCATCTAAAGCATTTTCAAAACAAGCAATCAGGCCACAACATATTCTCATAAGTATAAATCTATTTGTTATAGATCTAATTTTTTTAGGAATACTCAGCAAATAGCCTAGTGTAAATATAAATGGAACATAAAGTTGTTCTTATGCTTAGTGAAATAAACTAGTTAAAAAAGACAAATGTTCTCTCTGATCCAGAACAATACACAGAATAAAAAAAAATTCTCCGTAAGATTAGCATACTAGAAACTAGCTTCTATATATATACAGCATGCATCTTTACTCCTGAGTAAAAGCAATATATCCATTTTAATTTCTTATTTTACTTTTACATTATGCTATTTTCTAATCCTTTTCCTCTACCTACTATGTCATGATACATTTGTGTATCATTAAGTCAAGTTTGTTACTATAAAATGAATGATGATGCTATTATAATAATTTGG